GGGGGGGGGGGGGGTAAGATCTGCAGGGGACGGAGTACTGTAGTGGCGGGAAAGTGGGGCAGTTTGAATACGAGTTCTGAGGCGGTCTGAAGGGGCGGTGGTGAAAAGGTGGGAGGGGGGCTTGAACAATTGTTCGAGTGGGAGCAAGATCTGCAGGAGGCGGGTTACTGTAATGGCGGGAATGTGGGGCAGTTTGAATAGGAGTTCTGAGGCGGTCTGAAGGGGCGGTGGTGAAAAGGTGGGAGGGGGGAGGCTTGAACAATTGTTTGAGTGGGAGCAAGATCTGCAGGAGGCGGGTCACTGTAATGGCGGGAATGTGGGGCAGTTTGAATAGAAGTTTTTAGACTGTCTGAAGGAGCGGTTTCCATCGTTCATTCATAATGTGGAGGCTGTAGATAAGTGCATCTGCGGTCTCTGCACTGAACACTCCTCCTTACAGGTTCTTTTGAGAATATGACATCAATTTACGGTAAAATAAGGAGCATTTTTTTTTGGCATTTTTCAATTTTTGGAGGGATTTTTCTCCGGGACCTGAGGAGACGGAGCGAATCAATCCACTATTGTGGACTGAACTTTGTGTTCTGCGAGGCTGTTATGGTACACCTTATCAAAGATCAATAGTTCTCTCTTGGTATGGCCCCAAACTTCGCTTATCGCCACGCTCAAATTACATAATTGTTTTTTCCCCTTGCCGCTTGAATTTTTGTAATTGAATTGTTTACTATTAGATTCTCCGTAAAAAGTGCTATGTAATGATTGTTTTTCCCCCAGCGGAAAGGGAAAAACGTTGTTTTATGATTTGGGCTTGACGAAGTTCGAAATTTGGGGCCATACCAAGGGAGAAATCTTGATCTATGATAGGATGTACCATAGCAGTCTTGCAAACAACGAAGAGATGTCTACGACAGTGGAGTGCCTCGCTGCCGCCTCCTCAGGTTCCGGAGAAAAATTCCTCCAAAAATTGAAGAATGCCAAAAAAATCGGCTCCTTATTTCGCCGTAAATTGATGTCATATTCTCAGTGGAACCTGTAAGGAGGGGTGTTGAGTGCAGAGACCGTACATGGTGGCTAAAAAGTATAGGACGCCACATTTGTAAGCGTAACTTCAAAGATATAGACCAGAGAAACAAATCAACTTTGTCAAGGATTAGAGTAGAACTACAAGATCACTTAGGACAGCAGGTGTTCAAGTTCGATCCTTTTGCTCTTACACAAGCCCTCAGACGCTCGATGACTGAATCGACCGTACGCTGCAGGTAGTCAACGTCGATATCGTCCTACGCCTTCTGGAGCGCCAACTTCAGAGCCTATAACGTGCGGTAGGAGCGTCCTCCGATTTTACTCTCCAAGTACCCCCATACAGAGAAGTCCATTGGGTTGAGGTCTGGCGAAGAGGAAGGCCAGATGTCCTTGCCCCAGTAACCGGGAAAGTGCGCGTCCAGTACGGCTTTTGTCGACTTTGAGGCATAAGAAGGGGCCCAATCTTGCTGAAGGACGAACGATTGGTTACGGAAGTGTTCATGACCCAGGGTAGCATAGTGTCCATTAAACCTACCTTTTGGCAAACTTTGGAGTTGATTTTTGTTCTGTCTATGAAGACCAAAGGTGTTTTTCTTTCTGATGTCACTCCGACCGAACCCATAACACTCTTGGAAGATAGCCTGCTGAGCACAAGACAATGTTTTGGGACCTGCTGTCAGCTTTTGACAACAACTGTCTCGGGTTTGACGGTTTGGATAGGGTTCTACGGTGGAAATTTTCTCATCAGTCCAGATCACATCAGAGATGCGGCGCGCCCTGAGCTCTCGAAGAAGTTTTGTGCATTTTATCAGCCGACTTTGCTTGAACTGCTCTGACACAAAATGGCCTCGACGGAGCCGATAATTGTTCAGCTTGAGGTCGCGTATCACAATTTCCTGAACGTTTTGACGGCTGATGTTGAGGTCAGAAGCAATCCGATTCATGCTGACTCCTTCGTTGCGGGTGATCCTCATCATGATGTCACGAATCCTTGGTGTGTTCACTGTTCTCGGTCGTCCCCTTTTTGGCATCTCAGAGGCATGTCCTCTTCTAGTTAGAGCGGCGGCAACATTGCGTACGGTTGAATAGGGAAAACCGAGTCGTTTCGCGATGTCGCAGCTCCTAAATCGAATGACTTGTACAGATCCCGCACTTTCTAAAAGTCCCGAAAGATTCTGAAAATACCCACTGACGAGGAGCCAGGAAGCACCAAACTTCTACTTTTCAGCCACCCTGTAGATTCACTTATCTACAGCCTCCACATTGTAAATGAACGATGGAAACCGCTCCTTCAGACCGTCTAGAAACTTCTAATCGACTTGCCCCACATTCCCGCCATTACAGTGACCCGCCTCCTGCAGATCTTGTTCCCACTCGAACAATTGTTCAAGCCCCCCCCCCTCCCACCTTTTCACCAACGCCCTTCAGACCGCCTCAGAACTCCTATTCTAACTGCCCCACTTTCCCGCCACTACAGTACCTTGCCGCATGCGTACCCAAACACGCCATGCAGAAAACCGCTCAGAGACAGGCCCACTGCAGAAAGTGGTTGTGGAGGGAGGTTTTCTTCACGGGTTGACCTTTATATCATTCGATAGGATTTTTCACGGGGAATCCAACAGTCTACAATGCAGCTACAAAAAGGCCAACGGAAAGGCAAAAAACATTGTTTCATGGTTTGGGCTTGACGAAGGTCGAAGTTTGGAGCCATACCAAGCGAGAAATTTTGACCTATGATAGGGTTTACCATAGCAGTCTTGCAGACAATAAAGAGATGTCTACGATAGTGGAGTGCCTCAACACCATCTCATTAATGGAACGTATTTGAGAGTGGAAATGATACACACTCTTACTGCATTGGAGATACAACAAAATAATCATTAGATTTACCAAGATTAGGCCGTGAAGGCCTGTTGTAAAGCAGAAGTCTACTCTTTTGTATCGCTCACTCCTCCATTTCGTACATCTCTGCTTTCAACGATATCGAATAGTGTAACGAGTTTTGATACAGCTAAGCACACATCAATTCCATAGTTATACTGCAAGAGGAAAAGTTGCAGCGGATTACTGGATGGCTCCATAACTAATTGGAGTGTCCATGAAGAACGCTGCGCGATCTTTCTACATTATAGTGTTGAAGTTGCTCTTTCGAATAACGCTGCGAATAGTGTTTCAAATTTTAGATGTGGGCATTTCCGATAACGATCAAACTTTTCTGTGCGCTGGGATCTTTGAACATTTGAATCAATCGAACCACACTTGAATCAAACCGAATAGGTTTTCGGGTTGCAGCTGAGAGAATTGATAGGCTGCCGGGGAACTTCCCAGCTACTTTCGCACTTGGCAAAGCACCCCGGTATTAAAACAAAACCTTCCCTCCTGTATGCGAGATTAGCCACTGGCCTATCTATTCTGGAGACACTCACCCATTTCCGTGAATATTGGCAAAACACTGGCTCCCACCTCTTCAGAATCAAATTGTACTGTGTGCTTTACAACCTATCAAAACTGATGACATAGTTCTAGTAATCTGTGTGAACGCCACTTTCTAGTGCGTAGTGATGCAAACATGTGAATTTTCGACCTTCTCACAGATTATCTTGTCGTTGCGTAACTCTCGGCTGTGAATTTGGAGGGAGCTATAAAAATATCGATGGACGATCCAGGATCTGCCCTTTCTTCTAAGCATTTATAGCTTCTATGATAAATCTCAACGTGCAATCAATATCCTGACTGCTGCAACTTTCCAGACAGCCCATGAAGTGGTTTATGGTGTTCAATAGAAGAATTAACCATGCTCGAGCAGCATATTTTTCATGCACAGTGCTAGGGGCTCGTAGTGATTATACTATCGTTCTCCAACATTCCCCATCTATTTTACCTGTATGACGTATATGCTTCCTCTGGTATATTTGGAGACGATTAGTAAACAACGCTGTCGGTTTATGTCCATCAGTTTTAGGATGCATTTCGATTCATAAGTTGGCACGACCGTACTCCGCCTACAGATGACGGGATTTGCGCGAAAGTGCCAATCTGAAGCTAAAGCGTTCAAATTTGGTAGGAGTACAGCCGGCAGGGTGGGAACACTTACGGTGGGTGGCAGTACTGGAGTCCTCCTACAGGGGCGAAGTTTGCGCGTTTGCGCGAGAAGGGCCAATTTGAAGCTATTCGAGTTTGGTAGGAGTGCAGACAGCAGAATGGGAATACTCATATTATTCGGCTGGACTGGACTCCGCCCACAGGTGGCGAGATTTGCGCGAGAATTGTCAGTTTGAAATATGCATTCAAGTTTGGTAGGAGTGCAAACAGTAGGATGGGAGCACAGTTATGGTGGGTGGCAGGACCGAACTCTGCCTTTAGGTGGCAGGATTTGCGCGAAATGTTGGCTTGAAGCTGGGGTGTTCGTATTTGATAGGATTACAGGCAGCACGGCGGAAGCACAGTCATGGCGCTAATCGAAACCGGACTTCGCCTACAGGGTTCGGAGTTTGCGCGAAAATTGTCGGTCCGCAGCTATTCAAGTTTGGTAGACGTGCGGGCAGCGGAATGGCAACCCTTACAGTAGCGCTCGAAATATTCGGTTGAAACTTTTTCGGTCGTAACTTTTTCCTTAGTGGAGCAAATCGCTCAAAATTTCTATATGTTCAACTAAAACATATTTCACACTATCCAACACTATTTAACTGCAAAACAGCAGTATCTTCATAACTAAGATCAAAGTGTTTTTGGGGTAGCAAAATCAAAGTTAATGGTGTCAGCAATTATTCTCACTTTATGTGCGTTTTTTGCTCTTCTGTGTCGGCATTAGCGCTCGTTCACTTTAGACATGATAAAAAGGATAGAAATTCTAGGAGGACCATCATTCGTATTTCCGAATAATTCCAAGTCTGAGGTCTTTGGGATATTTGGACCGCGACCATATTGTAGGTTTGTAGTGATAAATATTCACAATACATACATGTTACACATATTGAGATTCCACATGACTAGATCCAAGAAGTTAGAAAGTTACGACGGAAAAGTACCAGTGAAGAAGCACTTGACCGAACACTTTGCACTACTGTATATGTAGTGTTTGGCAGGACCGACCGGACTTCGCCTACAGGGTTCGGGGTTTACGCGAAAAATGTCAGTTTGAAGCTATATCGTTCAAATTTGGTAGAGTACAGACGGCAGGATGGGAACACTTATGGTGGGTGGCAGTCCGGACTTTGCCCACAGGAGGCAGGGTTTGCGCGGAATGAATTTTCGAGCGGGGATTCCTGACTCTTTTTACCGAGGCATGGCCAACTTCAAGAGTTGGTAGGGGTAGAGAAAGCAGGACGGGAACACTGTTGAGAAAAGAGGTCTTATTGTTAGAAAAGAAGGGCCACTCACCAATAAAACTTCAACGCCTTTGTTATTTACGATTTAGCCTTGACTTGACTCTTCGATTTGTTTCATTCGACAAGAAGTGTATGTGCAGTGATAAAAACCGATTAAGGGTACATAATGTTAAAAAACAAAGACTGGTTGACTTCTTGCTGATGGATTACGGCCGCTACCCAGCAAAAATTGTGACTCACTGAAGATCCCCGTTCTTCTTTGCTTCGATATCATTTTTGGCAAATTATCCGACCGCTAATAGCCATAATTCTCATCTTATGATATCTCGATGAAATTTGATGAATAGGCAGCGAATATTAAGTGCGGTTCCACCTCTGTGACTCAATCGTAACTGTTTTTAGAGGCAGTGGGCTTCTACTGGCATGACAAATGGGTTTTTGTACTACAGGGCACCTTAAGAAGGATTACGGCTTCAATTGCGTAATGCGATGCTTCAGCAGCAGGTATTATTTCCATGCAGAGGTCAAAGTGTGTCAGAAGTAGATTTGAAGGATTCATCGAGTTCGACGCGTATTTGGCGCACCTCGGTCACAAATGATTCATATTAAATGATGATTCACACCCGATAACGAAAGGAGCTTTGCTGCTATCTGGCACTGGCATCTGGTAAATAGCCTCGATTTTTTACCTGTTCAGGATGACTCCTGTCTTCATTAAAGGTGAATCAAGGATAGCAAATCGGGGGCATGAGAGAGTTGCATTCCTACCATAGAAACGGAAGCCATACTCAGCAGTTCTGTTAAAAGCATTCCCTGGGGCTGTGTTGGCTTTACATCTGTGACTTTACATGCACAGATAACTAGATACACATAGCTAGAGCATTCGAAGATATTCGTTCCGTTCAGGAGGCATCAGGTACAAATCCGTTTTTCATGAACATCGTCTTCGCTAAGTTCATTCTCAAGCCGATCGTTCCACAAGCACTGTCGAACTCGGCCAGCATTCGTTACGCATGCCCGGTGTTCGGTGTTATAAGCACGATGTCATCTGGAAAGCTGAGATAATGTATGTGGCGGCCGTCGACTCAATGTTGTAGAACTCATCCTTACATATTCAGTAAGGACATCCTTGTTGCCCGGGGCTTCAATTACCGCTTCTGCCTGTACGGTATCAAAGGCTTTCTTCAAATCGATGAACGTAAGACATAACGGCATTTTTTAATCCCGCGATACTTCAATGAGTCTTGTAACGGTATGGATGTGGTCAATTAAACTAAACCCTCTCCGAAACTCTGCTTGCTCGCATGGCTGTCCTTCACCTAATATTGTGCCAATCCTGTTAAGGAAGACTCGTGTGAGAAGCTTGTAGTTTACAGATAGCAAGCAAGTTGGGCGATAATCGTCAATGTCGTTCGGATCTCCCTTTTCACATAGCAACACAGTCTTGCTAGTTTTCCACGACGTGGGCACTTTGCATTCCGACAGATACCGCGTGAAGAGCCTAGCAGATCTCCGACGATGAGTGGTGGAAGACTCTTCAGATGTTCTGGTTTGATCCTATCGGGACCGGGCGCCGTACAGTTCTCATCGACATGATGGCATGTCGTATTTCGGAAGGGAGAACCGAAGAATCGATATATATGCTTTGCCTAAAATGGTGGATAGGCAGGTAGACATGGCTGTCGAAGAGATCCGAGTAGAAGTCGTAAACAACCTTCTCCATTGCCCTTCGAGATGCAGTGACTATTCCGTCAGGGCGACGAAGGGAAGTCATCTTGGTCTTGTATTTGGCGAAGCTCCGTCGGGCTTGCAAATGCCTTTTTCGGCCTCGGCGGCTTCGTCCATAACTGCTGCTCTTCTCTCCTTCAGATATTCTTTCATCGCTTCTCTGCATAGCTTCGCAAATTCAAACGTTTGTTGATGATCGCCTGTAGCTCAAGCGATTCCACCCTGGCGTATCAGCTCGAGAGTCTTCGAAGAGAGTTGTCTCCTGGTTTCTTGTAGACTCTCTGCTTTCCTAGCGCCATCGTGAAGATGTTCGACGAGCCGATTGTATTCTTCATCGATGTTGCCGATAACGGAATCTTCCCATCTACTCGCAAAGGAACCGAGGTGGTCCCAGCTGATGGAGGTCTTAAGGCTTCGTTTCCAAAACTTCATAGCTCTCTCTCCACGCACTGGGAAGCGGATTCTAACGCGGAGGAGACGATGTTCCGATCCCGTGTAGAATTCCGGAACAACAGCGACGTGGGTCAGGCTAAACTTTCGCTTGACGATGATGTGAACTACTTCACCAGGCGGCAACGCACGCTATCGCGTGCGCTGGGAGCTCTAGAAATGAGGGATGGAGCCATATGAGCTTCTGATTTTCATTATAGACCTTTATCATCTGAGCCTCTTCCCTTACACTTCTGTAGCGGTCACTATTTTTTGTCTCATGGCAAACATGAAATTTTTCGCTAGATCACGAAAATTCGGACTGACCGGCAAGCAGTTCAAGTAGGCTGTTTGATGTGTAATAGGAAAGTTTGTCCAGCTCGGCAAGAGTATCGCATGATATATATAACACTTGATTTTGAAACATGTAATTTATCAAAGCAACACTTCTGCATACACAATATTCTTCAGCAAGGGCGTCGGAAATTGATCAAGCAATAACTTCAACCTTTACTGATCTTAATTTATAAATATTTTGGTCTGGACTGTATGTGGCCATGAACACTAACTTCGAAAGGACACCCCTTTGGGTGGTTGTAGAGTTTACACGTCTCTACAGGATATGCACCTGTGTGGCCGGGGTTATCGTAAAATTTATTTCATGTGGTATGAAGTTAACGCAGTGCATTTGCTCTTGTGTAGAAGGGACTATTGTGTGTGGAACCATGGATACCGACTTTTAGAAAATTTTTAGCCTAATTTTTGAGAGAGTTAACACGTTGACGACAATGTCGGTCAATGGTGTCCGACAGTACTGTACGTCATCCAAATGGAGAAAAACTCAGATTTTTCGTTTCAAATTTTACATTTATTTATTAGCTCACTAACTTTAGTGTCGACCTGTGATCCTTCTTAATCTAAGGTTTTTATGGAAATATTAAGTATTAAGTGAAGAGTCATACATCATATCAGATTACAATTAAAAAGCTAGCGTGATTGGAATCATTTACCAAACTCAACAATTATGGACACTTTGAAAACATTCAAGGCAACAAAACTGATCGCATTTATCGCACTTTGTTTTGGTTTTCTTTGCAGTATTTCTAGCTACTGTTCTGCCATGGGTCCTTGATATGAGGCTGTAGTATTCTTTACAGAACCTTTTATCCTTGGACTTCATTCGAGGATCTGAAACAAGCTTTCTTCTAGATGACGGCCTGTTCGTAGGAGCTGGTGCAGTGATGCCATAAATGAGAGCATCGACAATTAATTCCTTGAAGAAGTTGATCTTGATATTTTTCACCTTCTCGCAATAGAGGAACCAAGCATTAACCAAAGCCGTTTGGGTGATTAGATGGTAAAATAGTCGGATGTACCACTTGCTCGTCTTTCTCAGATAAGGCGTGTAAGCCGCCATCTGATCACCAAGATCCACAAAGCCTTTCATCATGTTGTAGTCGGCAACTACAACTGGTTTCCCATCAGGCTGGCAACGTGCATCGTGTTCGATAGAAAGCTATGGATGTTTCTTCGATCTCTCCACTTCAGGATCAGCACTCCCCTTTGGTTCTGCTGATAGAAGAGTTCTCCACGTTTCAGCTTTTTGTCTTTCAGCGCAGAGGGTAAGCCTTTTCTATTTCTTCTCAAAGTACCTACTAAGTCGGTGCGTTTCTTCAGAAGTCTATGGGCCAGTAGTAAGCTCGTGTACCAATTGTCGGTGCACAAGCACCTGCCTTGCTTCAAAAATCCTTCCATAAGTTCCATCACAACGCTCGTAGCTACAGTCCTCGTTCTCTTTGGATCTCTCTCGGCGTAGACCTTTACTTTCAGCATATAGCCTGCTCTGGAACACAACTTGAACAGCTTGATCCCAAACCTGTGCCTCTTGGATTCACTATACTGTCAGAAAGAAACTCGCCCGCGAAAAGGCATCATAGGTTCATCGATACACAACTTCTTTTCCGGTTTATACATCCTCTGGAACATAGCGTTCAAGTAGTCCAAAATCGGTTGAATCTTGTACAACTTGTTACTCCTGTCTGCCTCGCTATTATCAGCAAAATGGAGGCTTCGTTGGAGCTGTTCGAATCGATCCCCAACCATAATGTCACCGGCTATGGAATGTCCATTTCTCGCTAAATTTCTAGGTTTTAGGGACCAATAGTTTCTCTGGTTGTCCAAGGGACACTGCGACATTTGCAAGCAGAGGCCGATAAATCTTTTGAGTTCCTCAATATCTGTCTCTTTCCACGAACGACTTTTCTGATGGCCATATATATTCGTTTGTGTCGCAACCATTTCAAGCAGTTCCTCTGAAAAGAACAACTCATAAAAGTCGAGAGGGGTTCCACAGTATTCCACATTTTGGTGTGCTCCTGTTGGCTCGTTGAAAATCCATCTATCATTGCAGAATGCATCGTCAGTCTAGATATTATTTTCCGTGTCACTGTCGCTACCACATTCGTCGGTATCATCTGTATCAAAGTCTTCTAGATCCCGCACAACTGCAGGAACCAATCATTCCTCCTCCTCAGGTTCATACAAGTCCTCGGCGTCGCTCTCGGGTAGTAAATCGTCGAAACATCTCTCCAGGACATCAGCATCATCGGCCATAGAACCCATGTTCACGATAAGTGTTGGGACTCCAGAAGTACCCGGGATTATTGTTATCCACGACCTATTTGAACTCTTCCCAACAATTGGCGCCTTCACTCTAATCTTAATCTCGCCAAACGTTTGAATAGTGCCTTCTATGGCAGCTCACTTTTCAAAGCTTCATACGCCGAAATGGTCTACAAAGACCCATGTTTTAGAATATTTACCCAAATCTTAACAAAAAGATTGTTCTAGAATATTTACCCAAATCTTTCCTTCTATTTCCAGGGATTTTTAGTTGTTTCTTACGAATAATGGCTTATTCCTTGTTAATATAATAAACTAAATTTTGTGTCTCTCCCGTGGGACGATGTCGGTCAATGGTGACCGACGAATAGTCAGCGCTTTCAAACGGTCTCGTCCCGTGGGCGCGCAAGCAAAAAGCACTATCGCCGTCAATGTGTTAAGTGGTATCCCCTAGTTGTACTTCTATATGGTCAGCTTAGTGTGAAGGACAGATGTGTAAATTTTTGATCCCAGCCCGGCCCCCCTCCTCTTTGCAAACCCCACCCACTTCAGACTCCGAACCACATTACTTTTACTACCTCCAGGCACCTCTTGCGTTCCAAACGCATATAGAAAGACTTCATAATTTTGATGTTAGTCGCGCCTACTTCAGTGCCAATCCCGCCCACTGTGGGATCTGACCACATTTGTTCTTTTACATCCTACCACTTCTTTCCAGCATCCCGCAACGTTCCTAAATAGAGTTATAAGTTTTTGATCTGAGCCCCGCTCACTTTGGTTCAAGACCCGCCCACTTCAAGGATTTGACCACATTTGTTCCATTAAATACCTCCAACCACGTTTTTTCCGCTTTCTAGAACGCTTCTGAACAAAGTTACAGTCATTTTTGAAAAGGAGCTTTCACCTCAACGCACGTCCCGCCCATCTTAGGCGGGGCTTCGCTAAGTTTCCGCATGCCCAGCACGCATAAGGCCTTCCTTCCTTACTCTTCATTTTTTTCGTGGTCTCGACGCCATCGCTGAATCGAGTTATCAATCTCTGTGGAAAGTACCGCCCACTGCTAGAACGCTCCACCCACTGCCTGTAGAATTCCTCTATTTCAATTGTTAACCCAACCCTCACCCTCGCACACTTTTTCCCGGCGTCTGGACTTTCATGACTTTTATGAAACCAAATGAGAAGAATTTGCCCATGTCCCCAATTGGCTGCTTTCATAGTCCGCCGGCCGGCCGACCGGCCGGCG